GAGGAGGAGGGGGGGGGAAGGAGGAGGAGAAAAGGGAGCTGAAGTTGTTTAAAAAGTGGGTACAAGTTAAAACTTTTTAAAAAAAATGGATATAGGTTAAATAGGGGCAACCAAATAGGGTGCCCCGTTCAATTTTTACTTATATTAGGGTGTTGTACCTTAACTGGGCAAACGGCCGTTAAGGTATACCGCCTTAAGCTAGGGCTTTATATATATTATGGTCACCAGATTTTTTTTCCACACATTTTAGTTCTTTGAGTCCAAAAGAACCACATTTTAGTTCCGGACTCCGAGAAATTTTATAAGTAGATATGGCTGCTATACTTATTAGAATAACAAAGTGTCACTATCATCTGAGCTAGGAGTGGCAAGCGGACGGGTCGGGTCGGATATGATTCTGGTCGAAAACGAGTAATGAAAAAACGGATAAATTATCCGACACGACCCATATTTAATATGGATAAAAAACGGGTTAACCGGCGGATAATAATGGTAACCATATTATCCATTACTTCTTGCATATGATCACTTTTGAGAGAATTCTTAAGTCTCTCTAACTTGAGGAACCCTCAATTTGAGGCTTTACAAATATAAAAGTTAGACTCATTGGTTATCCATTTTCTAAATGGATAATATGGTTCTTATCCATATTTGACCCGTTTTTAAAAAGTTCATTATCCAACCCATTTTTTAATGGATAATATGGATGGTTAACTATTTTCTTTGAACTATTTTGTCACCCCTAATCTGAGCTATTCATCTTCTTGGAGTAGCAAAATGTTAAACTTGGTGAATATGTCTGTAAAACAAACCAAGCTACTCAGACACAACTTGTATGTTGTTGTTTTAATAACTAGGCTCTAACGGTTTCGTATTTGTTCAGCTACTTCCAACCTATATTGCTTGAACTTTTTAAAAATATTATTGGGTGCATGTCATCGGATCCTCAAAAAATAGTTCACTTTTTAAAAATGCAACACGAATATGACAGCATTCTTGAAAAGTCGGAGCAACATAACTTCTACTAAAAGAATTAACTGTTTCATTGTTAAGCTCCAGTAGGACTATATAACTATATATAAATCCGTTGCTCCGTCATGCACCAGTGGCACCTATCATACCTAACATCATCAGGAAAAAGAAAAATGAACAAGTGGTGCTTTGGTTGAACAACTCAATAGAATATGTGGTTTAAAGCAAAACCTCAATAAAATATTTGATATGATCGTATCTTACCTGATAATTTCTTATAGACGATATTTTTGTTGTATGTTATGTATTCGAGGTTTTGATTGCTCTGCCATGACTGAAATCTATTAGAAGGATTATAATACCAAATTAAGCTTAAATAATAAATGATCAATTTAAAACTCAATCCAAATAAAAAATGGTAAAAACTTAAAGAGTATCAAAGGCAGTCAATTGAAGTGAATGAGATCCTATAATTCTTATATTTTTTGTTTCGCTGGTCAGCTGTTGATGGTTTTAAATATATGTTCTCACAATCATTGCTTTCACTCTCTATTCTTCTCACGTCTTCTACATATGCTTCAAGGGGTCGTCCGCCATTGTTGCTTCTTACCCTGTGTCACCTGGTTGCAATGTAAGAAAATTGAAGAGTAGAAGTCCACCATTGAAAGTTATTCAAAGCTTTGCTTTCGAAAATAGGATTTTTTGAGTTTGTTAGTTCTTTGGATTGGGTGTTGTTCCAATTGATTGAAAATATCAAAGGAGTTCAAAATTTAAATTTGAAGTGATTTGGATTAGATTTGAGTTAAATTTTAGAAAAGACGCAAGGAAGAAGACGAAGTCAGTTTTTTGTATAATTATGTATAATCTTGTATAATAGTGTATATGAGTGTATAAACACATCTTATACACTATTATACACCTTTATACAAGCGTCAGTAGACGAACTTCTTTCACGATTTTCAATTGCAATTCTTGTTCAAAACCAGTCCAAATCTCCATTAAATGACTTCAAATTTTATATACAACCTCCTTATACTATTTTTAACAAGTCTAAATAATACCCACTCCAAATTTCTCACAAAATCAAATTCGAAATTTAAACCCACATGTTTAAGCTTGTTAATAATTTAATTTTCACCATCCAAATAGATTTGGTTTGTTGAACTAATATTTGAGCCACAGTTACTGATTCGAAAATGAACTTAAAAAATTGAGCGATCTTCTTTGAAAATTAAATAGTAATTTCTAGAACCTATTGGAGTTGGACGTTGAATCTTAGCCTATTGTTTTGGGGCTAGTTGGTTGTAAATTAAAATAGAGGCTATAAAATTGAAAAGCATGGAGCTCAGCTGTTCTTACTGTGAAATTTTCCCAAAAATCTACAGCTAAGAAACTTTGTATTCTATGTAGCAAAACTTAGCCGAGCAAGCTATTCCAATGTTGTTTAAGAATCTCATATGCCTTGAAGCAAGGGACTGCCTGCAGCACAGTGTGCCCGTTTAAAGACTCCTCTATTACAATACCCAGCCTCACCAATGTACTTATAGCTTTGTCTACAGGCATTTCAACCTGCACATAATGCAACTGTGTCAACATGGATAGCTATAGCTGCAAAGTAATTCAATCACCAAGTTACCTTTTCGTCCAACACATCATAAATAAACTTCTCACATCTCGCTCCAACATTTCCAGCATAACTTCCCTATAATTTTTGACAGGATCTCAGATCGTTAAGTTCTACAGAAGTTCGTAGAAATTAAGAAATCTTTACCTAGGTAGAAAGACAAACTTGTCCATTTTCAAATTCGTGGATAAAAGGACAATGACAATGAGATATCTCAAAGGCATAACAGAGATTCATGACGAAGTAATAGATCTATTAGAAAAGCTGACAAGTTGAAAGAATTTCCTCATTGTTAAAGTGCATGACAACCCTCTCCCCTGCAAAAATTCGTCTACATCAAAGTGATGGGATTCCTACCAGATGCTTTATCATTTTTCTCTGTGTAAACAAAAACTATGTCTACTAACTTTCTTCATAACCTTTAAAGAAAATGTAGAAGAAAAACATGCCTTTCCACTAAAATAACTTTTCGCAACTAAACTCGAAACCAACCACCATCCTATATCACCATGTTCTCGCGACAGTGTATTCATGAACAGCTAAATGATCATGTAGGTAGAAAAGAAGAAGATCAATCGAACGAAGTGCAATCTAAAGTGCAATACTTCCATTTGCACGTAGTGGTGTTCCGTAAAAATCCTTATGGTTCTTTCATTTAAAGGGAGTGATGGAATCCAGAAATTCAATTAGGTATTAAGAGATTGACATCACAAGAATGAAGAACTAAAGCGAGAAAAACCAGAGAGCACCACTAAGATATGTGCATAATCCAAGAAGTGATATGGGCACTTGAAACCCCCATATTTGTGCAGCATTTCTTAATTGATTTGATTCCTCTAGGACTGGCAACTCCGCAGGGACTCTAGATCCAATTCAAGCCCCAATTAAGAATAGGAAGACGACTTCACTAGACTTTAAGATTTCATGAATATTAGATTAGTCCCTGCTTAACTCTCTTAACTCACTAGCACCCAAATTTCCAAGACTTTGTTGCCGAGTCACCTCCATCGAGATTTATCAAGGAAACTTCACACATTTGGTTCATTGGAAAAGGAAATATCAAACAGATTAAGTTTTCGCTGCATTGAAGAGCATAGTCGGGAATGTAAATGGAAGGTGCAGGTGGAAGTGGGTCTATTTGTTCTCTGTTGCTAGTGCAATTTAATGGCGATTTCAGAGATTTTAATTGCATTTCAGATGAAAACAGTTAGGAGTGGATGATATAAAAAGGGTGATGCCCCTAGATGTTGAGACTTTGACTGCAAAAGCTTGAAACTGCAGCGCTAAGTTCCTATTGGGGCATATAATGATGGAAGAGAAGAATGAAAAAAATTAAAAAAAGAACAAAGAATCAGCTACTGTTGTTTGTGGTGTAGGCTATCGGCCATGGGTGGATGGGTTTATATATGAGTTAATACCCTAAAATCCTCATAAACTATTCGACTTTTGTCAGCTTCCTACTTAAACTATCTGGTATCCCCAACTCCCATGAACTATATTCCCCTAGCTATAAAAAAAAACCTCTAGCAGTGCGTATGGTACACGCGCCTAAGTATAAAAAAAAACATGTCATGTGACGTTATACGTGGCTATTTATCTCAGCCTAAAACCCTACTAAAATATTATTTTTCTGTCAGTTACGTACTTAAACTATCTATTGTCCACAAACCCCTTATGACTATATTCCCCTATATAATAAAACTCCCCGTTGAATTTTTAGAGGTGCGTCTGTATAATTGTTGAAGTGTGTGACCATCTCATTTCAAAACTTAGGCTGTTAGACAGAACACACTTTTATATACTTAATCATATTTTCAACACTCCCCTCACGTGCGGGCTTGATTCTTTTTGATGAACCAAACACGTGATTTTTTTTTTTTTGATACTGGGTGGCGGTGAGACTTGAACCTAGGACCTTTGTCTGCTCTGATACCATGTTAAAGTGTGTGACCATCTCATCTAAAAGCTTAAGTTGTTAGAGAAACCACACTTTTATTTACTTAATTTGTCTCCAAGACGCTCCCTCACATGCGGGCTTGATTTTTTTTTATGATCCCTACACATGAAAATTCTTTCTTTTTTTTTAAAAAAAAAACAACTCACAACAATATTAGGAAAATCCAAGTACATCTTGAGTAATCATCAATGAAACTAACAAAATAACGAAATCCTAAGGTTGAACTGACTCTACTAGGACCCCAATATATCAGAATGAACTAAAGAAAAAATAGACTATGAACAACTCTCAACACTATGCGGAAAGGTGGCTCGGGTATGTTTTCCAAATTGACACAACTCACAATCTAATATAAACAAACTAGATAAACTAGGCACCATCTTCTGCAGCTTAGATAAACTCGGATGTCCTAAACGTCTGTAAATTAGGTCTAGAGGATCTGTAACTAGACATGTTGTGGAGGAATTGAGTGAGTTAAGGTAGCAAAGGCCTTGTGATTCACGTAATGTGCCAATCGTCTGCCTCATACTGCGATCCAGTAACATGAGTATCAGTCTGAACAACCGAGGCTACTTGTGGAGATGTCTGCTTACTTAATCAAGCCCGCACGTGAGGGGGCGTGTTGAAAACATGGTTAAGTATATAAAGATGTGATCATCTCATTTAAAAGCTTAAACTGCCAGAGAGAACACACTTTTATATACTTAATCATCTTTTCAACACACCCCTCACGTGTGGGCCTTATTCTTTTTTATGAGTCAAGCACGTGAATCCTTTTTTTTTTGGACATTGGGTGATGGTGAGACTCGAACCCAGGACCTTTGACTATCTCATCTAAAAGTTTAAGCTGTTAGAGAGAACACGTCTTTATATACTTAATCATGTTTTCAACAATAACTATATTAACTTATGTTTTGTACAAAAACTTAGGTGTAGTTTAATCGTTGTGTATTACTCTCAGATGATTGATTAATTCTAAGCATTTTGGCCAAAAGGATCTCATGCAATGTGTTATTTTTAGATTTAATTGTGATTGTACCCTTAGTTTTAATGTACAAAATGATGGATAAAGAATACTGAGGAAGAAATAAAAGTTAGTAGTTTGTAGAGCTGTGCACGAGGCTTGTCGAGTTGTGCTGGTGATAAGGTCCCCGGGCCTGATGGTTTCTCCTTGGCCATCTTCCAGCTCTGTTGGGACACCATTAAGGGGGAGTTGATGGAAGTCATTGAATACTTCCACGTGAATGTGTTTTTGAGAGAAGTATCAATGCTTCTTTTATTTACTATTGTGCCTAAGAAAGAAGGAGCATCTTGCATCAGAGACCTAAGTTGCTTGGACACGGGTGCGGGTGTCCGATACGGGTGTGGATCTAGATGTCGGATCCTTCGAGATGCAAATTCTAAGATTCGGGAATACAGATCCTAGTACGGATACGGATGAGGGGATGCGGCTGAAAATAATTAAAAATATAAGAACATCTCTAAATTATGATAACTTTGTGTTATACTCACGTATAGCTTGTAAATTGTGAATTTCTGTTTTATTCTCAAGTTGTAGATAAGTGAATGATTGATTTCCTAGATAAAGTATGTTATTTTCTTCAAATTTACCCTAGTTTTGGTTCTGATTTCGAGAATCAAATTGTATCTCATCTCGAATTTTTCTGTCCGTCGTGGTCAAAGTACCCAAAATTGTTTGACCAGATCCGGTACGGATCCCATACCCATACCCACACCCATACTAATGTCGTGTCGACACGGGTGCGGCACCTAAACTGCCATGTCGGAGCAACTTAGTCAGAGACTACAGGCCTATTAGTCTCGTGGTGAGCATTTACAAGATTATTTCTAAAGTGCTCTCCAATAGACTCAAGAAGGTTCTTGACGCGTCTGTTTCGTCCACCCAGAAATGCGTTTGTGGAAGGTAGGCAGATCCTGGACGTTGCTCTAGTGGCAAATGAACTTGTAGACTCTAGAAGGAAAAATAGAGAACCCGGTTTACTATGCAAGTTGGACCTTGAGAAGGTTTTTGACCATGTCAATTGGGAGTTCCTGGATTTCATTATGATGCGGATGGGGTTTGGGGTAAGATGGAGGGGATGGATCAAGTTCTGTATTTCCTCAGTCAGATTCTCTGTCTTGGTCAATGGTAGCCCGTGTGATTTCTTTGTCAGCTCCAGGGGTTTCAGGCAAGGTGACCCCCTATCCCCATGCTATTCATTCTAGTGATGGATGCTCTGAGTAAAATGATGGATCGTACGGCGGGCAGAGGCTTCTCAGCTCTGATTGAGGTGCTCAGTGCCCAAAGAGTCTTTCATTTGCTTTTTGGGAACGACACCCTGATTTTTTGTGATGCTGATATGGATCAGTTGACCTACATGAAGTAGGTCCTGCAGTGGTTTCAGATAGTATCCGGACTCAAAATCAACCTCGGCAAGTGTGAGATTTTCCCGGTAGGTGAGGTTGCTAACATTGGTGCTTTGTCTTATGTCCTTAGATGTAAGGTGGGTTCTCTTCCCACTACTTACCTGGGTCTCCCATTGGGCGCTTCGCATAAGGATACTACGGTTTGGAATCAAGTGATCGAAAGGATTGAAAAAAGATTAGCAGGCTAGCAGAAACGATACTTGTCAAAAGGCAGTAAGAAGTGCTTATTAAAAACACTTTATCGAGTATGCCCACCTATTACTTGTCCCTGTTGCAAGCACTTGTGAGGATCACAGAAAAACTGGAGCGGCTTCAAGGAATTTTCTTTGGGATGCGGCGGATGGAACTCGAAAGTTTCATCTAGTGAATTGGCAGACAGTCACTTCCCCAAAGAAGTGGGGTGTACTTGGAGTAAAAGATCTTAGGGTATTCAACCGAGCTTTGTTAGGGAAGTGTGCTGTGGAGATTCGGGGTAGAGGAGCATGCTCTATGGAGGGAGGTCGTAGTAGAAAAGTACGATTCCACAGGAGGGGGTTGGAGGACCAAGGCAATCACAGCACCTTTTGGGCGTGGCATGTGGAGGAGCATCATGAAGAATTGGAAAGCCTTCAGTGGCAACATCACTTATAGGGTGGGAGATGGAAGGAGAATCGGGTTTTGGAATCACAGGTGGTTTGGAGAGGATACCCTGAGGGTATCTTTCCCCCACGTCTTCGGAGTTTCAAATCAGAAGGAATTGATGGTCCAACAGATTCGCAAGGAGCATGAGGG